TCTGGGCTCAGAGGATCCTCTCGTCTCAGCTGGAGTAGCTGAGAGTACAGGCGAGTGCCACCACACCCGGCTAATTTTTACACTTTTTGTAGAGTCGGGGTCTTCCTATGTTGCCCAGGCTGGTCTCACACTCCTGGCCTCAAGGGATCCTTCTGCCTGGGCCAGAGTGCTGGGAAGCCCCTAGTGCACTCATTATGGGATTTCCTGCTGTGTGGATTTCTTGGCCACACCCTGAGACTCTTAATGGATTTTGCTCCTTTGCACAGTCATCAGCAGTGAGGACTCTGAAGAATCCAGTGATGGAGACGACCCCCTGGGAGCCCCCATCTCAGCACTGGAAAGTGAGCCTGATGGGGAAGGTTGGGGGAGCAAGGCTTGGGTTGTGGGAATCGGAACTATGAGTTACTATTTCCTGATGCACTTTATTCTGAGCCCGTTCTGTACAGTGGATCAGGTTTATCCTGGAATCTCATTCTCTGCACTTATTTAACTTGACCCTTTTGGGGAATGCAAGGAGACAAAAAATTGTTCTAAATTTATTTTTGAGGATTAGGCTTATTAATTGGTGGATTCTATTAATCAATATATGTACCCATGCATTGATTATATAGTAGAAACAGACGAGCAAAGTGATGAGTTTGTTTTTCAATCTGACTAGTTACTGTGCCTGTAAAGTGTTAGATTTATACCATGATTTCTGTAGAGAACAGAAATCTAAATGTTCCTTTATTTGAAGATCATGTTGTCATCTGATCACAAACTGTGAATAGTGTCAAAAGACAATTCATCCAGATGTTTAGTGTTAGCAGAAATAGACTTGAGATAAAATATTCTAAAACCTGAAGTATTGTTTTTGACAGGGTTCTTCTGCACGTCATAGCATATGTAGTGATTTTTCAAAAGACTTCTGCTAATAAGCATTTTTTTCTTTACAATAACCTCAAAGGGTGATCAGGATAGACAGTGTTGTCCTTGCTGCCTAGATAAGAAAACACAATCACACAAAATGTTTCAAGGTCATCTACAAAGACTCATGGAAATTAAAGGAAAGCTGAGACTAGCATCCTGTATTCTGAGATTTTTCCTTTGTAAAATGAGAGATAGAAACAATTATCAAAGTGTTGTGTTATCTCAATCCTATTTGCAACATGAGTTGTCATATGTTTTATAACTCTTTAGTGTACAAATTCGTGATTTGTTTTCCCTTTTTACTTTTTAGATCCTGAGAATATAAGAAATATGCCACTTTAGGGAAAGCACACTAGGAACAAACCTAGGAACAAACACAAATGTTGCCTCATCTTGATGTTACAAAAGAACAATGTGTTAAATACAGTCATTCTAATTGCTCACTGTATCTTTCAAAGTAAAATGTAAATTTGCTTCATTTTTTAGACGGTACACACTCTAACTTTTATCCTAGTCTAAGAAAACTGCTCTAAAAAATAGTCCTCAAATGTGTCTATTGCTCAAACACAAGAGAAGGTGATTTCTCAGCCTTTTAAACAGTTCAAGGAGGTACCCAGTAGGTGGGGGTACAGGAGGGTCAACACCTTCAGCACAAGGTCTTCAAGGTCTCCTTGCATGGAAAACAGAGGCAGAGATGAAGGGAATGTGGAATGACAGGGAGAAGGGGTAAGAAGTAAGAGAGAGCAGTGCAGGAAAGCAAAGATCAGCAAAGCAAAGATGCCCCTTGCCAGGGAATTCTCTCTGCCTGTGGGGATGGGAATGGAGCATCACTCACATACAAGGCAGGTAACTTAGAAGGGAAGACCAGGTTGAACTGGGTGCAGTCCAGGACTTGCATGGATTTGCAAGGTTTTTCCAAGTTTTCTTATTAGGGAATTTCCTTGGCCACACACTGAGACCCTTAAGGGATCCTACTCTTTTGTGCAGTGATCAAGGAATATGGATCTTCAGAATCAAGCGAGAGAGAGGAGGCCCAAGCAGCCACTTGCTCACGACCCCAAATTGCACCTGGTAAGAATATTGAAGTTGCAATTCCTGGACGATAGAATATCTAGAGTCCAAATCCAGAGCTCTGTTTTCCTGATGAATTTTATTCTGAACATTCTCCATATGCCTTGATTCTGTAACTTCTAGGATAACATTTTCTGCAATTAGCCTCGCTGGCCATATTGGGAAATGGAAGGTGTCAGGAAGGCATTATAAACTTTTCTTTTATTGGATGGGTCCAATCGAATCATATATTGAAGATGTAGCAAAAACATGTTGGTAAAATGACAGTCATTGTACTACGCACTATCACATATATTGATGCCGAAGAGTTGGAGTAATGTCCTTACCCTGCACCACCCTTTATGTCTGATGGAGCACTGTCAGCACAGCATGCCTCTGTCTTCCTGTCTGTCATCAGAGCATCTTTGTAGTCCAAACCCTGTGTACAATGTAAATAGAACGTTTATAATCCTTTTAGTTATAGCTTAGTTATAGCTTACTGGTTTTATTTTCTTTCCTTTCTGGATCCTGTGAATATTGGAAACACTCCTACTTGTTTGATACTTAAAAGGAAAAGACCACGTAGGCCTCAAAGTGTTCCATGTCCTAAGTGCAACACAGGTTTATTCCTCGCTCACGTAAATGGAATAAAAGAGTTTGTTTTTTGGGAGGCTGGTGGTGTCACAAGCTTAGAAAGTCTTCGAAGAATAATTTGTGCTGCTGTTTAATTATTAATGGGGAAAAAATGATTTCAGAGCAACTACAACCAAACCCACATTATAGTTAAATAGTTGGCTTACATTCTGATTTTTCGTAAGGGAAAGATAATGTGGTGTAAGAAGACAGAGAGCCAAGATAAGCAGAGATGCCCACTGGGGGTGAAATTTTCTCAGCCCGAGGCTCAAGTGACAGTGAGGGTAAAATACTAACCTTCAGGCCACACGAATTCAAAAGGCATGTCATGGAGGTCTGAGGGCAGGGACATTCTTGCTCCAGAATCAGAGTTTCCCAAGTTTTTCCTAGTTTCTTTTTTCTAGAATATTCTTCTGTCTTGGTACCCTTGTCACACACTGAGACCTCAGGGACATTTGCTCTTTTGTGTCTTAATAGGACATGACTATGACTTTTCTGAATCCAGTGAGGATGAGTCACCCCTGGAAGCCTGGAGCTCAGCACTGAGAAATGAGCGTGGTGAGAAGGGTAAGGACCACCTGGCTCTCCAGGACAGCGGGAGTCTGACTTCACAGCTCCTGCTTCCTGGTGCATTTTCCTCTGCACGTACACCGGGAGCCCATTCTCTGCATTTGCCTCATCTGGCCATTTTAAAAAATGGGAAGAAAGAAGCCATTATAAATTTAGGCTCAGCAAGATGGCTGCAGTTGAATGGCAGTGCCCTTTTTACTCCTGACCGCCAGACCAACTAACCCCTAAGTATTGGACTTATGTAGTGCTGTCTGCTTCCGCCCATCCCCTATTTTGTAGAGAAGAGAAAGTGGGTGTCTGCTGTTGCTTGATTTTGTCGCAAACCTGTTCAAAACTCAAAAGACCCGGGTCATACTCTCTAATTATTGACAGAAAGAAATCCTTCTGGTTATTACCATCAAATTCAGTTCATAACTATTGACAGATCACCCCAACATGACAGTGGCCAAATGTGATATTTTAAAGATCTTCTCAGGTAAAATCTCCTTTTATCTTTACAACAACTTTGAAGGTAAGCAAGATAATGGCTGTTTCCACCATTTCACAAATGGGGAAACTCCAGCACACAAACACTTAAGGATTTTTTTTTTTTTTGCACATGATACATGGAAAGTTAAAGGAAGAGGCAGGAGTAATAGTCTGAACTACCAAACATCCATAATCCTTTATTCAAAACCCTTGAAGCAACATATATTTCAGAATTTAAAAATGTTTTTATAATTTTTGAAAGACGATGTGATTTCTATTTTATATATTACAAAATACCTCAATAGAGTCTGGGGCAGAATCCTATTCTAACAAATACTATATTAATGTTTCAGCTGCAAATTGTGTAAATATTCACTCCAAATATGATAGGATTTTACAGGGACTCATGGCAGCTGAAGTCCAGATTTACTGCCAGATTGGTTAGCTGCAAACATATGAAAAAATATTGGTTTTCAAAACATGTTTGATTTTGCAATTAGAGCTAGATTGTTGGTCCCTACCCCATTTGGTAGTGATCCCTTTCCTTTAGATGGGGAGAGACAGAAATGATCATCACAGCATCTTTATGGTCCAGATCTTATCTACAGTGTAAGTAGTCATAAGATTTATAATCTTTTAGTTATGGATTACTGATTTTCTTTTCCTAGCCTTTCTCGGTCCTGTGAGTATTGGAAACATATCTATTAGTTTATTAAGTATGAAATGTCCGATTTTCTTAAGTACTAAGTTTGATGGTTGCTATCTCTGACATTTCACTTTGACATTTCTTGTTTTATTTTTATTGTGAAGGTACATCCTCATTTTTTAAAACACATGGTTTGGCTTGTGATTATCTTTCAATTTTTTTTAAGAGCAATTTTTGTGAAACCATAGATAAGTCAGAAATTCAAGTTATCTTCAAATATGAGTTCCATCATGGAACCACTGTGGTGCAGACAGCTCAAAATGCCAACGAAGTGTTTGGGAAGGATGTGGCTAATGAAGGCACAGTATGTCAATGCTTTGAAGTTCTGTTCTGGTGATTTTAATCTTGAAAATGAGCCACATGGGTGACCTGAGACCAAGGTGGATGAGGATGATCTGAAAGCTGTAGTGGAAGTGAATCCATCACAACCTAGGTGTGAATTAGCAGCAAGATTTGACATTACTATTCCAACAATATTGGACCATTTGAAACAAATCAGCAAGGTAAAGAAGCTGGATAGATGGGTTCTGCATGAAGTAAATGAATGTCAGAAGAGAAGTCGTTTCAAAGCTTGCCTTTCTTTCCTGTCACGAAATAAAGGCAAACCATTTCTACACCATATTGTTATGTGTGATGAAAAACGGATTATTTTTGACAATCACGAGCATTCAACACAATAGTCGGATAAAGATGAAGTGCTGAAATACAGTCCAAAACTAAATATTCATCCTAAAAAGCTAATGGTGTCTGTTTGGTGGTCCAGTGCTGGTATTATCGACTGCAGCTTCATGAAACCTGGTCAATCGATTGCAGTGGATGTCTACTGCAACCAACTGGCTGAAATGATGGGAAAGCTTGTAATTAAGCAGCCAAGATTGGTCAATAGAGACAGGCCAATCCTCTTGTATGACGATGCTCAATCGCATGCCACACAAACAATGCTGCTCAAACTACAGAAGCTGGACTTGGAAACTCTCTGTCATCTACCGTACTCACTAGACCTTGCACCAACTGACTACCACTTCTTCCAGGCTTTGGACCACTTCTTGCAAGGAGCAATATTCAATTCTCAACAAGCTGTGGAAAACACCTTTTGTGATTTCATTGCCACTCGCTCTCCAGGCTTCTTCGCTGCTGGCATAAACAAGCTACTGTTAAGATGGCAAAACTGTGTCAATAGTTTAGGCACACACTTTGATTAATTGCACTGCTTCTTGTTTGAGATACAACAAACTAAACTTTTGATTCAGAATTGGGCATTCCATATTTAATGACTTAGTACCTGGAGGAAATGCAAAAGGCAAAGACTAAATAGGCCTCCAAGTGTTTGATGGCACAAGTGCAATACAGGTTTACTCTTCACTGACATAAATAGGATAAAAGATTTCTGGGGACAGGGGCAGTGTCTTATTCCACATAGTCATTTAGGGCCCAGCAGACGGAGGGTCTGGCATCTTTGAAATGTTGCTTCCATGGTTCGGCTGGATGAGAAACTGATGTGAAGCAGAAGTGTGTGCAAACAAGTGGAAAGGGTAAGAAGTGTAAGCACTGGTGACAAAAGGGAGTCTCTGCCTTGGCACAGTTGTCCCCAGCCCCAGATTTGGGGATGGCTCCTGGGCCAACCTTGACCAACAGGTCAGATGAAGCCAAAGATGGCCTAGTGGTAGGTTTATTTCTACTCCTCCTACATGAACTTCCTTTTCCAATTTTCCTCTTAAAGAATTCCCTGTGGGATTGACTCCTAAGACACAGACACTGAGACAGACTGTTAAGGAATTGTATTTCTTTCCGCAGGGATCAGCAGTAGTGACTCTTCAGAGCTGAGTTATGGAGAAGACCCTCAGGAAACTAGCAGCTCAGCCCTAAGAAGTGGGTCAGGTAAAGATTAGGATGCCAAGCCTTGGCCTGCAGGATGGTAGGAACTGAATTAAAAGCTACTGTTTCCAGTTGCATTTTATTCTGAGCACTTTGACTCCCTTGTATCCAGTTAATCCTGGGAATTCCTTTTCAGCATTTTAGAAAATGGAAGGAGGCAGGAAATTATTATAAACTCATGCTTAACAGGATGGGTCTCAGTGGCTAAGTGTATGTAATTATGTATTGCTGCTGTAGAATAAATAAATAGCAAAATGATGGTATCGTGCCTACTAAGACCTTAGATTTTTATAGCAACATAGTGGTTGACATTAATGTCATTTGTAATTGTAAAAGCCTCAAAAGACAACTGTTCCTACTACGTAATTATAGACAGAAATAAAAACTTCAGATCAACCATTCTCAAACTTTAATATACTTTTTGACAGAAATACGTTGTGTTATTTCAATGCACTTTGGCAAATAAGATCTCATTTTGTCATCACAAAATCCTTAAGATGTAGACAGCCTAATTCTTGGTATCCCCATTTTGGGGTGAGAAAATAGGTGTATAAAGGTATGAGGATCAGAAAACAAAAAGAACAATAGTGACTGTCAACCCAAGTGTCTCATGGTGGATAACTGTTGTGTGTAACAGACAGGAGGCTGAGAGCCGTGTCATGGGAATCAAAGTCCAAAGAAGAGACACAAAGAATCCAGAGTATTCACAGGGGACTATGTCAGTGCCTGATGCAAGAAAGCTTGTTTATTTAACAACAACAATGATTTGTGTGTGTGAGTGTGTGTGTGTATTCACAGTATATAAAACATACATACACACATACATGTATATATATTGGTTGAGATATCAATGAAGATATCTCAACCATATTCATTGATATCAATGGAGAAGGAAACATAAAAATCACAAAGGGACAGAGACCAGGGATGGAGTCAGCCATGTGGTGTATAAAATACCTAGAAAGATACAGCCAAAAAGGATGAACATAGAAATAAAGGGAAACAGAGATTAAGAGCATCTTGATGAAAAGAGAAAAAGCAACACAGGAGACAAGAAAATTCAGGGAGAGAGAAGCTCACAGAATCAGAGAGATAGAAATAGAAATGTTTAGAGGCACAACAATGGGCAGAAAAATGAGAAGTGAGGGTGAGAATGAGGAGTGGCCAGACAGGAAAAGAGTGCAAATCTCTGTTGGATGTGAGGTGTAGTCATGGAGTGAGTGTATTTCTTTCTCTGCTCATCTGAGCTCTGAAAATGGTTCAGCAGAACCACATTGAGATGTGCTTCCTGGTTCTCTGGCCACTATCTACAGTTTATCACTTCCTTGTTTATCTTCAATGTCCTGTGAATCCAAAGCTCTTCAAATGAATACAGAAAGAGTCAGAAGAGATGCAGCCCATTAGCCTGTGGTGGAGAAGACAATTATGATTATTAATTATCAATTATCTTTGTTTTCCTGTGTGCACAGAGGAAAAGCTCTTTCTTCCTTTCCTTACCTCTCCCCAGAACATCTGCAGACACAAATACACACATAGGCACCACACACACAGACTTGTGCACAGGCTCTGACTGCTTTCAGCGGGTTTGAGGCAGGCAAAAGAGAAAGAAGAGCTGGGCTTCTGAATGAAAGGAGGAGACACTGAGTGGATAACATAAGGAGAAAGAATGGGAAAAAGTAGGCTTGGGTCACTAAATGAAAAGATTTCAGAGTAAGCTTTAAGTTTTTCTGTGTGGACATAGGATCTAAATATACCGGTAGTTAAGGAGATTTGTGGCGTAAGAGGGGTGATTTTCAAGATACCTCTCAGAAGTTATACCAGAGGCATGGAAATAAAGTTGAAGACTGATTGACAGTCTTGCAATGTAGAAAGCTCATAGGCAACTGGCAAAGGTAATAGAGCTGGCTGTGTGGTCAGTGTCAAAAGAGCAGGCATTTGATGATGATGAAAGTAGTCTGTGAGAAGAACCTGAATACAGGTGGAGAAAATATGGATACCACTCTGGGAAACATAGACTATCAAAAAAATTTTAAAAAATTTAACCAGGCATGGTTACCACACCTGTAGTCACAGCCACTTGGGAGACTGAGGCAGGAGGATTGCGTGAGCCCAGGAGTTCAAAGCTGTAGTCAGCCATGATCATGGCACTGCATCCCATCCTGGGTGACAGAGCTAGATCCCATCTCAAAACAAAACAAAACAAGACAAAAAGAACCACAACAAAGAAAAAATACAAATAAAGACAGAGATCGAAATTATAAAAGAAGC